GGTGGAGACTGCTCAGCGTGCTCTTAGGAGTTAGTGAGCAGTGCTTTTCATACAAGAGGTCAAGAGTTTAGTTGCGGGAGGCAGTTTGGGTGAGTGGCTGTGATGTAATGGCCTTCAGTAAGGAGTGGGAGAGAGGGTAAAACCAGCAACCTTCTTAAGAAGAAAAGAGTTTATTTCCTTGTCAAAGCTATACAGAGGGCTCAAATGCAAACTCTCCCACCTTGCAAAGACAGGCAGGGGAAGTGGTAAGCTTTTCCTCAACTTCCAAAGTAGGAACGAAATGGAGGAGCTGGGTGAAATGTCTAAGGACAAGTGTAAGTAAATGTAGCGCAAGGATATACGTACAGAATTATGTCAAGGCACAAAATAATTTGCAACTAGTAAGAGAAATTGAGAGCTACAGTAAATAATTTCTAGGATGTCAAAGTCTTTGCTTCACTTTCCCAAAAAGAACTAGCATGGTATCTGGCTTGGTATAAAATATTTCTTGACTAAAAATAATGTAACTGTTAGGACCTCTGTGTCATCCTCACTTGAAAGTTGATACTCTGGACTCTTCTTTGTGTCACTTGGCATCTATCCCACACCGGAATCTTGAATTTACTATTTGCATTTTGGCCCGACTGGTAATAACCATTGTTATTTACAATGCTGTCTCTCGCCTGCTTTGCATTTTTCATCTCTGACATGCAAAGTGCCTCCCAGAGGAGTTCTTTTAAGCTCATCCTTCTTCACCCTCAAGCTGTGTAGAGTTCTCTCCAGTCGGTGCACAAAAAACTTACTGAGCTGCTCCTTCCCCCAGCATTAATAGGATTTTCCAACATAAATCTCTCATCTATCAATGGATTAATGGGCTTAAAATGCAATTCACTAGGTGGTTTAAAGAGCTCAGCCATGGGTAATAAAATACAGTACCTTTCACCACAGTAATGCTAATTCTGATCCACACAGGATGTTAGTGACTGAAGTTACTGCTTGAACTGCATCAGCTGAGTGTACTTACAAGCCCATGTCAGGGATTTCTCACTGGGCAGAATGCAGTGAGCTGTGCAGGCAGTGCCTTCCCATTTCAGGGAGCACAAAGATATGCATCCACATTTCACTTAGACAGTTTTAACGATGCTTGCTAGAAATAAATGACGGTACAGGGGATTTCTTGTTTTGTCATTCTAAGGAAAAGAGATGATGGGGGGAGCAAAGATCCCAATATGATATTTATTATTCATATTTTTCTTCAAACATGAATAATGTTTGCAATGATACATATAACTTTGTTCAGTTATACATATCAGATGACATGGTCTGGGACAGGGATTGGTGTTCTCTGCCTATCTTCTTGGAATAGGACTGATGTGCACACACATGAATTTTATTCTGTTTTAAAAACTACTTTTTTAAAAAGCATTTAAGATTTTTTTTTGGACATACCTGTCACTGTATTCAGCAGAATCAACTTTTTTTTCTTTAAAAAAATATCTCTCTCATTGCAGAACTAATGTGTTTGGACACCCTTGAGAAGGGAGCCACTTGGAAAAATGAGTCACAGTTTCTTTCCAGACCTTGAAGTGATGGGTGTGTGACTTTTTTCCGTCTGAATTGTTGAAACCATTTTTCAAAGAAAGTAAACTTTAGTCTTGGTTAAGAAATAATTTGGCAAAACATTTTAGCAGTTTAAATAAGGGCTAAAGAAACTACAACCCTTATGGAAAGTCAGGTGTTTCATTCTCTACTTTTTTTTTTTTTTTTTTTTTTTGTAATGCAGTGTGGTGAGGTTTAGTGTCCTAAAATAGACTTCGGCATCTGGAGAATACATCTCTTAAGTAGAGGAATTAGTGATTATATATTGGGTTGTTTTTACAATAACTCAGATGTTTTTCTGCAAAACTATTACCAAAGTTATGATTGCTCTTATCTCTTTTGTTTTCTCTTCCCTTCTTCCTTTCTTTCTTAACTATATTACCAAGGAAAATTTATAGCAGAAACCAGAACTTATAAACTACTACAGTGAAATGGAGATTATCTAGCATCATGATAGTTTTGAGCAAAATAGGGTCTCTGTACTAGTAATTAGTTCTCCTGCTTCAGTTGAAATCCTGTTTCACACAGTGGTTTTTCTCATCTATGCTCAAGTGTTTGCATGGATCCATGGATTTTGTAGCTTGCCTCATGATAGCTGTGGGAATGTTGACTTTTTTGGTTTCATGAACTTCCTAAACTTCTGTTCCTTCAATGTAGTTTTGGTTCTTTGGTTTCTGTTATAAAAATGAACTGGGGAAATGAGGATTTGGTGTCCAGGGATGAGTATTTTGAAAAGAATCTTTGAGCATGTGGAGAACGCAGGAGGAAAAACACAGTGTATGCAGGGCAGATGTGACAGCTGGTAGGAAGGTTTAAGGAGTGAAGGGCCATGGGCCCTTCATCTCCAAAAAGGAAAGCCTTCAGAAAGCTCCAGAAATGCACAAGACTCACGTGGTTTGGGCTGTGCCAGCACTGGGTCTTTTATTTAGTCTTGTGTCCCTGAATTCTGAGGCTGAGGAGCCACTACCCTAAAATACTGAAAGTCAGCATTTACATTGACAGTGGTTTTGCCCCAGGTCATTTTATTGAGTCCTGGATAATGGCTGATAATGCTGCAGGTTGGGTATGGCTCCTGGCCAGCTGGGCCTTCCTCTTTGGTGGCAAATTAAAATTGTTCAGCTGGATGCACTCAGGAGGCGTCCTGAGGTGAGGGTTTGCCAAGCACTAAAAAGAGAATAGCTAATAAAGTGTGTCTGAGCGCCAGACTGATACTGATACGAAGGTATTAAGGGATGCAGAATATAAAACTATTACTTGGTGTGTGTATGTATCCTGAGGCAGCCAAGTGCCTATATTCTCATCTCACTGAATTTTCTGTTAGTGTTAGTCAGTGGAGGTCGATGTCTTCCTTGCTTGAGTTAGCAGTAGCACTATTTCTGTGGCTTTCTCAACTACTTCTGAAGTGACAGCCATGGAGATCTTCTAGTGATGTGCTGTGTGTTGCACGGCTTTGGGCTGGTTGTAATGTCCCTGTTAGAACAGTAGTTCCTCACCTTGGTAGTTCAGAGAGTCCAGTTGGTCTGAAGTAGATGAGTAGGCTTTTATGAAAGTAAGGCAGGGACAGCACCTGCTAACAAACAGTTATTGTAGCATCTTTGTTAAGAATGAAGTTGTTACATTGCTGTACAGTCAATTGCTATGGGGTTGTGTATTTTATTATTCATCAATAAGACTGCTATGTATTTCCCAATGATACGCTGTTAATGTACCAAGCAAATGCCATGGTTGGTTTGCTCCTTCTTTCCTTCCCTCAGCAGGGCATATTGCGTTCTGTGGCTGAGCATTTCATTGTGACGGATGCAGAAATGGGTGCTACACCTGCACTCCTTGGTGCTGGCAAAGGCAAGAGCAAAGCTTTGTCCTGGAAGTGAAAGTGGCGATGTCTGTGAGAGGCTTTTTTCCAGGGCAAATATTGCCTCAGTCTTATACCTGTCTGAGTAAAACTGTAGCAGGTGCCCTGGCATCTTGCCCTTCCCCACAGGCAGCTGCACTGCACCAGGGAACAGAGCTGTGGACTTCAGGTGACCTTCTAAGCAGCTTGGATTGAGGCACTTGGAAGGCAGAGATAATCACCTAAGAGAAAGAATGCTTGCCCTGCGGTGCTTGGGACCTGTTATTAGGACTGGAAGGTTTTTGTGAAACATTGCCTATGCCAGCTCCACTAGAGCAGTATCCAGAGTCCTTCATGTTTGATAGGAAGGTATTTTTGAAATGCTTACTTTTAAAAAGTTATCTTTTGTCATGGTTTGACGCTGGCACAATGCCAGTGCCCCCATGAAAATACTCTCTCCCTGGTTTCTACTGTGAGATGTGACCAGGAATAAGCAAAGCAGGCTCTCACTTAGAAATAAAGGAGAATTTATTAACTAAACTACAAGGAAAAGAAAAAAAGAAACACTCAAGGAAAATGAAAACTTCACAAATACATCTCCTCCTCCTCCCCACCAAATTCCCAATACAAACCTCTATCCTTTGTGGACAATGAAAACTTTACAGAACATTAACCCTTCCTAGAAGAGAGATAAGAGTAGAGGATGAAGAAGGAAATGGGCAAGTGATGAAGGTATGGGCCAGAGAGAGAGATGTTGGAGGAATGGAGAAGATGGAGTGGCATTTTTGCTGGACTCTTTTTCGGTGCACCCCTCCCTTCTTATTCTCAGACATGCTGCCTGCTGCCAGCACATGTTGATATCAAGTTTCAAGGTAACACAGTCACAAGCACAGGCTGCACTCTCTATCTCTCTGTCTCCAAGAAAGAGGCGAGAGAGACAGCTGCCCGGTGCCTCCCGAGCTGCCCGGTGCCTCCTGGTACTTCTTTCTTCCAGCCTTCCACCCTCGGGGCCAGGCCTACCTCTCCCGGCCGCATGGCTTTGCCCTCCCCCCGCTGTGCAGGGGAGGTCTGACCTGCTTCCCTCGCCAGAAATCCAGAGAGCCTCCCAAGGAAGAGCCCTGCTTTTAACCCCGTGTTCTCAGAAGCAGATCCAATGCCCCAGTAGCCAAACCAAGTGCCGGTATTAAAATCTGAGCAGCCATTAACCTGACCACAGCATCCCAGAAGACCCATTTCCTGTCAAACCACCACACATTTGTTAAATACTTTGTTGGCTTGCAAGCCTTTGTTTTCTTGTTTCTTTATTGACTGACCACCCCCCAAAAAATTATTTTGAAATCAGGACTATTATTTTTTATTTTTCTTGGTTTTGTTGGTTTTTTTTTGCAGAGGGGAGGTAGGGTGGGGATGATTGCAAGTGTGTTTGTTTGGTTGTTTAAATTTTTTTAATCCTATCCCTTATTTTCTACTAACCCCTTCCACCAAGGACTCTGGCTCCCTCCTGCTTCCCAGTTCTCAATTCCACCCTGATTAACTTTGAATTGGTTGGGAAAACATATTTAATTCTTCTTGCATTTTCGTTCTGTTGCAGATTTTGACTTGAACTATTTTTGGCATTGGAGCAAGTTTACAGACTACGTGCAGTGTGTCCTCACGTTCACTGGTGTGACTGGTTACATCACTTACCTGTGGCTGGACTCCTCTCTCTTTGTGGAAACGCTGGGCTTCCTTGCAGTGTTCACTGAGGCCATGCTGGGCGTCCCCCAGCTGTACCGCAACTACCAGAACAGATCAACAGAAGGAATGAGGTACGGTGCCTGTCCTACATCAAACACGTGTGTGTGCCTTCGTGGGGGGTGTCTCTGCAGTGTGGGAATGCTTTTCCAGGAAGGGCAATGTCATCTCTACAATTCTTACTTGAAAACACAGCAGCAATCAGCGTAGACTTTTCTATCAATAGGAGCTGGTGCAACACTGCTGAAGGCAGTGGGAGTTCCCTGACACCTCTGAAGTCCATTATCGAAGTCCAGCTGGGAGTTCCAAGGTGAAACATGTTCTAGTGAAATAAACATGTGGAACCGCTGCTGTTGCCATTAGCAACGTGTTACAGTTCTACTCAAGCTGTGCTATACTGATAATTAGAAATGGTCCAAAGAGATCTTGCATATCAAAAGTAATAAAGAGGATGAAAATATTTTGAGCCTGCAGCCTATAACTATCAATGTTACTCATATAATTAGCTTTTCCTCACATATCTCTGCTCATCACTTCTTCATAATCCATTACTACATTTGTAGCAAATGACATCAGTACTTATTTTTGTGTCAAAGCTTGAAACTGACATTTGCAAAAGTGCCAATGCGACTTTTACAGTCATGACTGTAAAAATGTGGGACAGAAAATTTTAATCTTGTGCCCACTCTTGAGTCATTAAGTCAGATTATTTTTTCACACTGTTTATTGGATAACTCAAATGGTAACACTGAGATTACAAAGGCAACTTGTGAAGCTTTTTGAGAGAGGAAACCTTCACTGTGGTGCATCAGTGCCCTGGTCTGTAGAAACAATACAGCAGCAAATGCAGTTCACAAAGTGCTGTGATCATTTGTGACTGTCATCTCTTCCAGTGTTCCATTATGACTTCTCTGCATTCCTTTTAAAATTTGCTGGGATAATTTTTACTTTGGTCAAGACAATTAACCATGACACCCCCAAACGAAGGCAATTCTATCCTCTGTTCACATTGTTTGCTTTATTTGTTTGGCTTGAGCATGCTTATACTAGCTACTCTGAGATATTTTCTAACATGAAATGTTGAAATGTTCAGAAATTTGCTTTGATACTTCAGGCATTTTCTGATTGGGAGCCCGTTTTGTACGGAATGAGTCAGGATTTGCTTCCAAAATACTGGGGTATTTTTCATGCACTCACTGTCTTGGAAAATTCTGTACCTGTGATATCCAGAAAGCAACTTATCTGCTAAACAGTTTTTATGCTCTGGTTTGACTTTTTTTTTCCTTTTCTGTTTTTCATCTGTGAATCATAATGCAATATTAATGATGGCCACTGGTTGTGTTTTGATTTTCCTTAACTCCATCCTGGGGATGTGAGTTTCAGTTTTGCTATTTCTTGTATATGCTATTAGCAAAAGGATTTTAAAAACCTTTGTTCTTTGTAAACTGCTAAGCACAGAATTGCAGAATTCTCATCTAAGACTACTTGGCGAAAGAGTGCCGAGTTTTGTCCAGAGAAAATAGCATAAAAGCTCACGTTTCCTTGTCATGGAGCAGAACCAGGTCAAGCATAGCCACGCTGCTTATCACTTGTGCCCATGGTTCCAGAATGCATTCCTCACTCTGGTTCCACTCTTGAAGAAATACTTTGTGTGGCATTGGACATTGATGGATCTGGGCACTGATGAAGTAACGCACAACTTTCTGCTATTGTACTGCAGTGGGAGGATATTCATGCATGTGTTGGTGCTCTTTCTTTTTATCAAATTAAATTGTGGTTTTATATATGTTGTAGGTACCACACACACTTTGTAGTACCATGCAATCCTAAATTGACTGCATGTTCTCTAAGCATTACTGGGCTATTCCTCCTGTGAGGGTGAGTGACTTCTCCCAGCGTGTTGCCTTCTGTTGAAGGAACTGTTGGAAATGCTTCCTCTGAACTTCCCTTCCTGTGCCCACTTCTCTAAGAGCATATCAAGAAGAGACCCCAGTCACGGCAGTACTGAAGGGAGCATGTAACAGTGCAGCCAGCCTCCTTGCCTGGGTATTTACCAGGTGAGGGCTGGCTGATGCCCAGGTTAGCTGATTGTCACTGCTCTGTGCAGTTATTTACAGCTCAGGGCAGAAATAACCATGTGTGTGGTTGGTTACATTGTCGGAAGCAATTGCATTGGGGATCCAGGCCAAAATGGCTGGCTGCCAGCCGTGCTCTTAGCAAGCCTCAGTGGCAAAGAAAAAGAAATGAGTTTCTAGTGTCTCTGTGACTTAAGGCTTAATGGGAAGAGCAATGAGTATTTAGCTGTTCTATATAGTGACCTTCTGGTCAATCATCACATCCTGGTTGGAGGTGGTAATTTCTTAAACCACAGTAATTCTGTCACCCAGTGCAGGAGTGCAGTCTGTGTCCCTGATAAAGATCATAGCCTTCACTACTGCCAGAGAAGTGGTTGTTCACAGGTCCTCATGGCTTGGCTTAGAAAAGCTGTAACATGCATCTGTCTCTGAACTGGGACAGAGCAGCTGATCCATTAGTTCTATTTAGCAAACAAGTCTTTTCATAAAGGTTAACTGTTGAAAAAGAAATGGAGAATAAGGTCTCAGTATGTGGTCCCATCTGATCGGAGTATCCTGCTGGACTCCTGATACTCTTGTTTCTGAAAAAAGGCCACACTATCCACAACCCTTCCTGCCCCACTAACATCTGTTTAAGTGAGAAGTTGGGGACATCTCATACTTGACATAGCAGTCATTTCCTGATAAACAAACTTGGAGACCAGGGGCCGCGAAAGAGCCAAATGGGAGAGCTGGCTGCAGTGGCAGCCAGGGTATCCTTTAGGAGTCTGTTGTGGAAAGGGTCCTATCATCTCGCCCCTGTATTTCCATTTGCTACTGCCTGAAAAGTCCCCTACTGAAAATATCCTTTGTGTCTTAGGTAAATGTTCAGAGGGTATCTGCAGCTTAGGCAGTTATGTTTATTGTAATAGAGCATGACTGGAGTGAAGGAATCACAGTTATGTGCTTTGTAGTGCTCCTGAGAATGAGTCTGCTGGTTCTTTGATATCTCTGTTCTGCTGGATAGAGCTCCTCACATCTTATTTTTAAGTTTTCATTTTCCCCTTCCTCTCTCATTTTCCTGCTTTTTGTAAGATTATTACTACTAGGTCGTGTAGCTTCCTCCTCTCTTCTGACAGAGCAGAGACCCAAGGAGAAGTTGGAAAGAAATGGAAACAATAAAAATAGAAAGGAGATGCATGCAAAAGGAGAGTAACAGCTTTTGTGAAATGAAGATAGTGTAATATGTCCTTGTGGGCTGATGGTTGATGGGTGGAAATTTTCCTATGATTAAGTAAACAACTAGTCAAAGCAACAGAAATTTTCATCATGTTCTCTTTGACAATTCACCTGCTTACTTTTGGAATAAATACTTTATGGAAACTTGGAGCTCTGTTTAAATATTTAAGTACTTTTGAATGGTTGCAAACCTAAATAGTACAGTAGTAGTTACATAAATTATGGTACTAAACTTGACAGAAGTACTTTGTAAAGAATTGTGTTAATACCTATCAAAGAAATATTCACTTAATCTCCATTCTTTTCAAGAACTAAACTAGTTCAGTCAGGTGACCTAGTAGAAGAGTAATTTGATTACTTTAATTATTGGGGTGGATTAGAATTACAAGCTGTTATGTTAGAAAAAGGACAAAAGCTGCCTCAAAGTTGAAGAGCTTTAGAGTAATTGAGAAAAAAATCAAACATGGTTCATCACTTGTAAATTTGCTTTATATTATGTGGTAAAATATTTCAAGATTTGACATCCAGAACACCTCTCCTCTACCACCCGTTAGGAGTCAGAGCGGCTGAATACTACAGTTGGGATCTGATGCTCCATGTTATATTAACCACTTTTGTTTTGGGACAGGAAATATACAGACAGGAACTTACTCATTGCCTCCCCACTCCTTCTAGGATAGTTACCTCCCAGTCACTTTCTCTTTCTAATAAACTGCATTCATGAGAAATGGTGGTGTTCAACAGAAGGCAATGGAAAGGGTAGGAAGGTTGGCTCTGGATCTGGCAGCAACACTGCTGCACACAGAGGTCAGTGCATTGGGAGAATCGCATCCTTGTGTGGACAGCAGCTTTTGTGGGGTTGCTGTAGGGGGGCACTGTGTGCTTTTGTGCAGGTGTGGGGAGAGCCTCTGAGGGCAGGCACTGCTGTTATTATGCTCTCCTCATAATCCCGGCTGACCTTCCTCCACCAAAGGAGGAGAATGGAGGGTTGTCCTGGGGTGGCTTCATGATGCTTGTATCCCCATTTGTCTGTTTAGAAATAAGTTTTGCACCTTTAAGAGTGGAAGTAGGGGAGAGAAGAAGCGCGGAGTTTATCAGAAACTGCACTTGCTCCCCTGCTTCCTGGTGCTGGACTGTGTTGCCTGCAGCATGGACAGACAGCAGGACAGAGCTCTCTTTTGCTTTTAGTTAGTTTTAGCTAGGTGAGGCAGTGAAGTTCCCTGGACTATGGTTTGTCTTTTTCTTTGGTTTCTGTTTAAACCAGCTCTGGACTGAACAGCCAGAGGAGCACCAGCAGCTCACACCTGTGGCCCACCAGGCTGGGCCTGGGCCGCGGCATTTCCAGTGCTGGAGGGACTGATAAGAGACTGAGTGAGCTGAGCTGCAACCCAGGGAGGGGCCTTTCTGAGTTTGTCACCTCCTTTAGAGCAGCAAGAGGTTGTACTGTTTAATATTGTTCCATTTTTTTGTGCTGATGAATGCTTTGCCTGTTAAATAAACAGGTTTTTTCCACTTTTCTCCAAGGAAGTATTTTCCCAAACCCGATGGGGGAGGGGCCACTTGAGTTTGCTTTCTAGAGGAAACCCCTTCGGAGGTTTTCTCCCAAATTTGCCCTAAACAGGACAAGGGTGTTCATCTATACCATCTGTGGCCAAGTGGTAGGTGTGTGGTCCTACCGAAGGACCGTGTTAACCTTGGGACTGCGTGAGGGTTGATTTGCTTCAGGACAGTATTGCATTCCTGTCTGCTGCCCTGCTCCAGAAAAAAGCAACTGCCCTTCATCAAAAGTTTTTTGCAAAGGCTTCTCAAAATCACGTCGCAGTAACCCTTTTAGACTGCCAGCTGCTTCTCAAACCCCATGGAGAAGCAGTTTCTTTTAGTTAGAGCTGCTGCATGGCACAATCTTCCCAGGTCCAAGAAGGAGGCCTGGCAGTAGGACAGAGCTGGGCTGCATGTCTTGAAATGTCAGAAGCCACAGTCCATTGGATACCCAAATGTGCCCATCAGTTGTTAGCTT